GAGGCCCCAAGGCCAAGGATTCTATGACCAAAACTACTACTCTCAAGCAAAAGTTCTCTGTGACTTGAGAGTGATGGATCTTGTAGGACTCGCCAAAAATTATATGCCAGAAGTGGTTGGTTCTAAAATGTCTTGATACTAAAGGTCAATAAAACAATAAGTTAGACGCAGCCACGCTTTAAAGAGACAGAGACCGAATTAAGTTCCTGACCAAGGAAACGACCAGATTAAAGGAACCGGCCAACTTTTAAGACCAAATCAAAAGACATTTGATTAGGTAGGCTGGAGTCTGATTGTCGTAGTTGGAATGACCAAACAGAGAAATATTCATTGAGTTGAGAAACAAAATAGTTCCATGACTCAACTAAACTTTTATTATAAGCACAGCACAACAATGAACAAAGCTCTTCCAGGATATATTAATCATTTGAGTATTCGGAATCAAGTTCTCGTTTTTTTGTGTGGTATATAACGTAGTTGAATAAAAAGTTAAGCGTTCAAGTTGTAATATTGGAACATGTCTAAGGTAAAAAACAATCCCGCAAACGAGATTTCTCTAGTTTCCAAGACGAACTCTCAAACATTGAATGTGATAATCGGGGGAGAGTTCTTATCGACCTGATCAGCGATTGTCTACCCCTCCCTTTAGAGCCAAGTTCGCCTGCGATCTGCAGAAGATAAAGGCGTAAACTGAATCAGGATGCAATGAGAAGAGTTTGAATGAATTATGAGTAAGAATGTGTGAATTTGGTTATAGATCAAACAAGAGATTTAAGGCAGACAAACAAAGGGAACAAGGTCTGATAAGAACATATGTAGGTTGTAATAGAAGAACACATATGGCAATACAAATCACTAATGAGTAACCAACTACTGACCTTAGTCAGAGTATTACGTATACACCTTTATAGACATATTACAAGTCACATCGCCAATTGGCTACCTAGCACCATGTATTAGATAGCTCTATAACGACATGTATCTTTATCAAGCGAATCTCCAACTTTTTGATGTTATCCGAGGTTGACTTCAAGTGAGCCAGAAATACACATCGAAAATCATGTCCTATTCACAGCATATCAAAATGGGATCTCAAAGCTTTGTTATATCAATAATTGTTGGCCGTTCTATAAATGAAATCTAGATTCTCAAGTAAAACAGACTTTGAAAATCAACGGTTGCAGTAAAGATGGAGTACTCTTATTCACAGGGGCAATCAACTAGACAGACAATGCTAACCCTTGCCTCTTAAGTTTTATTCTAATAAGCCTAAACCATGGAACCACCATATCGAACAACTGAGACATGGACGATGGATTCAATGTAGTTTAGATCTTAAAAGGAACATGATTTCTAATTAGAACAATCTATACAAGGCAGAAGAATCATAATCTAAGATCAAATTCCCACTTTTCTTCACATCGGCCTCGCCACTACTTCTTTCCTTAATTTCAAACCTACTATATTGAAAACGCCAGTAAAACCGCTATATAAGATGCACATGTGCCATTCTGATGGCTGTGTACATATCCAATTGATTAAAAATGGATATAGTGATATCATGATCCACCCCAACAGATGACTATTACAGCACCAAACATCATGCTCATTTGATTCCCTTCATTTCTGACTAAGAAGATTCAATCTACTCTATCTGATCAGCAAAACCATGGAACATTATAAAAACTACTCTTTTAGACCAAAAGACTCACAATTCATTCATCATATAATCAATGGCTAATAGACATTGAAGCACACTGTTATGTTATCAATCAATACAGAAGCATAATCAAAGCTACCAAATCCACAAGTATTCCTCTAAAATCTCTAAACCGTGGCAATGGAGATTACATAAATCATCGGTATAAAGTCTAATTCGTTTCTAATTTACACAAAGAGACGAGAGAATTGGCCAAAGCAAGTTCTCAAATTTGATTTTTGAGGAAGAAGAAGAAGAGTTGACATACTTTTTATGACGCCGACTTCGTTTAGGTCCCCAACCTTCGAGCTTAGCGACAGGACAACCACATCTAGATCGGAAAAGTAACACAGCACGGCCATTAGGTGGAGCCATCCTCCTAAGCTCAGCCCTTAAACATTCGTAATCAGGATTGCTCTCGCTTCCTCCTTTCCACGGCAATCGATCGATCTCTTTAGTAGCTCCCGATTTAACACATTCCTCTGTTTGTAACTGCAAATCAAACTCCATCGCTTTCTTCAAACCCTTACACTTGGGATTCTGACATTTCCTCGATCTGGGTCCGCAACATAAGTCGAGGAAAGCAATCGTCGCGGCGAAGAAGACGGCGAATGCGAAGAAGTAAGACGCAGGAGGGATTCCGGATGGATCTTCGTCGTCATCGGAGAAGATGAAGGGGATAAGAGAGGAGAGAGAAGGGAAGTGAGAGGAGAGGAGAGAGAAGGAGTGGAATAGATAGGAGAAGTAGGAGGAGAGGAGGAAAGCGCCGGAGAAGAGGACGAGGATTAGGATTAGAAGGTCGAGAGTCGCCGAAGGAGAGTGCTTGCAGAGAGGGGG